GGTACAGACACCAGAGCTAACATTAGCTACAACAGTCCGTATAGAATTGTTCAGCCGTTAACAAAATGTTTTGAAATTGAAAAACTTTGCTGATGATGTCAATAAATATTTGATTTAATGATAAGAAAATCGAATTATGTTTTTTTTTTGGTAGCGCGAGGATTTGGTGCAGTTCACAGATGTCAGCAGTGGTTTTTCAGTCAACCAGGCCAGTGTGTCCTGAACTGTCTCCCCCCTGGACAGTCACTGTCTGGACTCTTGTTAAGTTTGCCTAAAAAAAAATGTTAATGTTTAAATTTTGCTGAAATCCAGTGCGACTGTCATTAGAGGAGCAAAGAGTTGTGAGGCACATGAAACAGTGACGCACTTCATTATCTGCTCCACTAACTGTGCGTCAGACTCCACTCTCACCGACAGAGAGAAGCACACTTGACTACAGCTCTGAGCCTGGACCCCCCCCAACCACCCCCGACCCCCCTCTCCTGCTCCTGATGCAGAGCAGCCAAACACTGTCATCCATATTCAGTGTGTCTGTCACTGACCCTGACTATTTAAATGTAAATCCTCTTGTTTGTCTGACTTTTTAATGTTGTTCAAATTCCGTTTTCTGTGTTGCCTTTTCACCAGCGTGGCCCCGCGTCTCCACCAAGGTGACTCGCTGACGCGCCTCGCGTCGCGTCGCTCCACCGTGAATAAGACGAAAATGTTCTCCGTGCCGAGGTGAACGTCAGCCACGCTGTTTGTTTCCTGCTGCTGCTGCGGCTCCTGCACCTGCAGTGGTCTGCTGGAGTGTCAGTGATCTCAGCCCTGGGCCAGGAACGGTTTCAAGGCAGACAGCTCATCAAGGTGAGTGACAGGTGATGGAGGGGAGAGGCGGGGGTGGGAGGGGGAAGGTGGGGTAGACTTGACGATTCACTTTACTGCCTGAAGGTGAGAAGTTGTTTCTCCACCGCTGCCATCATTCCATCCACAACAACGTTTGATTTAAAGCAGCAGAAACTGATCAGCTGCTGGGCGTCTGGACGTTTCTCCGTGGTTTCTCCCTCGCTCTGACGATACACGGGCATGTTTTAAAAAGATTAACTGATGCGTTTTTAAATATTTGACGAAAGTAGGCGTGTAGCTGACTGTTGTCTCCGACTGATGTGGATCAAACTATGGTATGTGTCCATCCCCCAGCCCCCCCCTCGTCATCTCCCCCCCCGTCAGCCTCAGCCTCCCCCTCGTCATCCTCGTCAGCCTCACCCTCGTCACCCTCTGTCTCTACAAGGATGTTCTACTTCAGCGGTCCAACATTTCCAGATTACTTTTTGAATGAAAACAGTAAAGGGACAAGACTGGATTCTTTTTCAATTACTGTAAGTAAATCAGTAAAACTGAAGTACTGAAGTACAACAAATGAGCTACGGACCGGCACTGGTCCACAGACCGCAGGTTGGGGACCGCCCCTTCTACTTGATGGACCACACTTTAGTACCACCTCAAATATCACTCACTGTAAATTCTACACTGTTGGTCACCTTGAGGTGTCCCACTCAAATACAGTACTATCGGGAATGGAACCCGCAACCCTCTGTGTATACTATAACAAATACTACTACACTACTCCAAACTACAATACCTGTCGAACTACAGTCGCCAATTACTGCAACAACGGAAGCAGGGTCAAACATGAACACAGGCGCCACGGCAGCATCCAGTTAATGACATTAGGAGTTTGACGTCAGAGCGTCAGGAAGACACTGTATCTTACAGTGTGCTGCCTAAGTACTTGGACGCCGCCACACTGTTTGCTGTGCTGGCTCCATACACTTATTACTTTGGATAATGGCCAGTTCTCCAACTCTGCTTTGGTTCTGTTCTCAGGGATATTGAGGAAGCAGATTGACTAGAAGTCGGAGAACCTCATAAGTCCGCGCTGCGGTGCCAAACCCGGGAAGTTATATGACTTGCACATTTTAAAATTGTAATGTATACACCGGAAGATTCCGCAGGATAAGGGAAAAAAAAAAAAAAAAACAGAAGGAAAAGAACAGTGTGTCTTCAGAGAAATCTAAAGGACATCCAAGGAAAACTACTTTTAACTTTTGCAACTAAATATATGGAATAAATGAAAAGACAAGAAAAAGCCCCGTGTGTCTCAGAGAATTTGTACTCGTCACACGGAGAAAGTGATCAAACAGGAGAAAGTTGCTCCATCGATATAACGTTTCTGATGAAATCAGAACTGAATCAGCTGAATCCTGACTGAAACTTATCAAACAGGTTGAAGGCGCTGTTGGGTTTGTGGTAGGGATGTCCGATATTAACTTTTTCCCGATAGCCGATATTTTCGAAACAATTAATTTCTGATTCCGATATCAACTGATACGTATATGAACCTGGTAATATTCTGTACAAACCAAAGTATAAATCTGAGATTAATTAAATGAGCTGCAATGCTGCCATCTAGTGACTTTTACTTCAATATACAGCCGTTTATCCCCAAAGCATACATCATTTGGTGAAACCCAGGGATTGCGTTATCGGGTTTTCATTATCGGAGAAAAAAAAACAAAAAACGATTCTTACAGATATTACATAATATGCTAATATCGGTTGGTCGATATTATCGGACATCTCTCGTTTGTAGTGACTATGGAGATGGCATAAAAATGAATAAATTAGTGTTAGTTATTGATTATTCTGTTGTCAAAATAAAAGTACTTTTTTATTTTATGAAAATAAGTCAACCATCAGTCTTTCAACATGAGACTCAACTGTTTTGTTTTGTTTTTACATATGAGGTAGATTCCGATACGGCAATGAAGCTTTTTTTTTTCTTATTGCTTGTTGTCAGGATTCTTCAGCATTTGTTCCAAAATGTTCTTTAGAGGAACTGAAACATCAAGTTCACCGTGTTTGCAGACTCATCGTTACGCCCATATTTGGACGACGAAGCCACTGCCTCGACGACAGTGACGGTAACCATCCTGTCGCCTTCGAGGTCCAGCTGTTTCTCTAAAAACATTTTCTTGACTTCAGAGTAACTGTGAGTCTGTGGGACTAGAACGTACCAGAGCCGGGGCCTCGCTCCATGGTGTTGAAGAAGAGGCAGACTCCTGCGGTCAGCAGCAGGTGCACGGACTCGTACAGTAGTTTGGGTGAGAAGACGCTCCATATGAAGAGGTGGTAGCGCAGGACCGTGACCAGCACGATGTAGGCGGCGGCCGGCACCGACCTCAGCAGGGCCAGGCAGTAGCAGCCGTGGCTGAGAGACACCGGGCTCCTGTGGAGGAGAACACCGTGGTCAGAGAGGAGGGCAGAACAGCAGGGGGCAGAAGAGGCAACTTAGGAGTTAACAGTAGTAAAAAAAAAAAGAGTCAGAGATTCAAACACTGGCAAATGTTGGTAAGTTATATCTTTTTTTTTTTGTTCAATATAATGTAACTGCCCTAAGGCAGTAGTTCTCAACCCATGGTTCCTGGATCCCTGAGGGCCCACAAACCATAGTCAAGGGGACCAAAGATTTGACGATGGATAAAATGATGATTTGTGAAAGTTGCACAACTGCAGAGAAGGATGGATTGAAGAAGACAACGACTACATGCTAACAGCGCGTACACTCCGGCTACAGGGCGCTCGTTCATTCAATTAGACAAAAACCCAGCTGAGGAGGAGGAGGAGGAACTCCGAATCTTCTTCCAGGACAAGAGACGACGTGCTGATGGCGCAGGACAATCTGGACACCATCCAGCCTGGAGGTGGACATTCACTCAGACACGTTCACAACATTCACACCACACAGCCGTCCTCCTATTTTAAAAACTGCTCTGAATTTGAACTGCAGTAAACCCCACACTGTTTGAACATCGAGTTTATCCTGAGTTCTGAAAAAAAAAAAAAAAAATCTGAATCCAACACAATGACTGATTCATGTGGCTGTTAAACTCCTGCTGATTGAACACGGCTTCATTGATCTCTGTGCCGGAGCTCTCAGAGCCACTGAAACATTCATGTTCATCCTCTCAGTCTGTCTCCAACATCCTGTCACTGAGGAGGAGAAACTGCCTCGTCAGTGGAAAACACCTAAGCCTAACTCTGTGGACACCATCATCCAGCCCAACAGGCCCAGGTGAACTGGGCTGCCGTTGGTTTCCGTCCAGACAACTGTTCAACTGGGGTCGAAACCGACTTAGTTTCAAGACGCTCCATTTTTTTTGACGGTTAAATAGAAAAATCTGATCAAAGTTGTCGGAGACACAGAGACCAGTCTGAACTGGATTTAGTCGTTCACAGCTGACACCGTGAGTCTGAGGGGTGGCGTCCACTGAGGCCAAATTTGAATTTGGACTGACCAAATTAAAGTGACCTGACTAAACTGGACGACTTTGGTACTTTGACAAACTCAAACAGGAAAGTGAAAAAACAGAGAAGAGAAACCTGGCTGTAGAAGCTGAAAAGTCATTTTTTTGAATCCCAGAAATGAAGCCCTGACTCAGCCTCCATTTGACTGTATTCCACTAAAATGAAACATTCTGCTGCAGAGAGTACTCTACAGTACCGTACTCCACCACCGCTGCTCAGACTACTCCCAACAAGGATCACCTCCATGCAACTCGTGCGACGGCATGAAAATCAAGGCCACACCAGAGTCAAAACCAGTGCAACTCGTGCGACGGCATGAAAATCAAAGTCACTGTACATGACGATGACCGTCGGCCCTGAGGACGAGCCGGAGTCAAAACCAGATCAAAACAATGAAAACATTCAGTTTGACAGCGTGAGGAAAGCCTTTAAATAACTATTGATCACTTCAGGCCTGGCTGCCCCAGAGTGAATCATAAATGAGCTGCTCACTCTGTTTGAGACTATTTTAAACTCCCATTTGTTCGAGTACAGTAATGTTCCTCCACATTACAGGTGGAGCTCCTGCAAAAGGACCGGTGACTGATGTCAGAATAAGAGACGGTTGTGTGTTTGTGTCTGTGTCACCGCCGCCACCGCGCCATTTGTTGTTAGCAGGGAATAAAATGCAGTGTTAGAAAAAAAAAAAAGGCCTTGACCATAAGGCAGCTCAGACCCACTGAGAGCCGAGTGTGTGTTAGAGACGGTGAAACCACACAGTCTGCAGCCGGCCGGTCATTAGCAGCAGTCTGTGGGCGGATCAATGGTTCTGTCAGGTCACATATGAAAGCGATCAGTGTTTGAGCTTCTTCTGACTAAGATTCTAAGGCAGTTGGTCAAATTCAACAGTGTAAAAACTAGTGGTGTGATAAAATATTGATACATTGAAATTTCTACAGCGCTGTATTGATTTTTTATGTATGCAAATATTCATGACGTTGTTGATTTTAATGCTGCATTTAAGCCTCCGACCACTAGTTGGTGGTACAGGCACTGCATAAATTCAAATCAATCTATTTGTGTTAGAATTTGTTAATGACCAAAATGACCAAAACAAGTTTGACAACTACTGTTCTAATGGTACTTTGTCAGGGTTTTGTTGACGGATCCTTGTCTCTGACTGTCTGTCCTTCAGTTTCAGTTTCAACAACTGAGAAGATGTTTTACAATCTGGAAATGTCTGAACATGAGGCCTTAAGATCTCCCCTGCCTTATGACGTCACAAACCCCTGAACTGGGGAGCTCCACCCCAAACATCATCATCCACGACTGTCCAAAACTACAACGTTCAGCCCTAAAGGCAGAGCAAAGAACTGCGGCTCATTTAGAGCAGCACCGATGAAGACAAGCTGCTTCTTCTTCTTCTGCTTCTCCCACTTCTACCCGTTTCTAAAATCCTTGATTTTGCTTCACTGACAAAAGCAGCTCGTCCGTGCTACAGCGCTACAGACCCAGATGAGTCCCTGGAATTTGAGTTGCAGGAACTGAAACCACAGGCAGGTTGAAGAAAAGCTCCATTAAAAGTACATTTCACTTTAGTTTCTGTCAGAGCAGCAGCTGTTATTCAGCCACAAACCTCATCAGTCAGGACTGTGCACGGACCACATGCTGAGGAGAAGTCACACCCACACACACACACACACACCCATAAACAAACAAATAAAACAGCCCCCCCCCTCGACCCCCTCCACTGAAGGTCTTGAGCAGGTTAAGCTGTTTACACACATCTTAGACAAACTGCGAACAAATCTCCCTGATGCCACAAATAAACCAATTAACTGGAATTTTTCTGCACCGCTCCTGTCCCTGCAGAGAGGAGTCGGGAAGCGGGAGTAGAAAAACAGATGTAACCAAGACTCTGAAGTCTCTCAGTAATGATGTAGAGATCTGCCGCCACAGATGCTTAGTAACCAAGAGGGAAAAAAAAAAGAAGGTGGAATACTAAATATTCCTCACTTTGTCTGTACCACAGTACTGCAGTTGTTTGTAACTCCACTGCTGCTCTGCAGGGATGGGGGGGGGGGGACTTTATGGGAGAAGTGAATGGACCGCTAACTGTGGGACTGCTACTGGGAACACTCACAAAAGAACAAAAAACTACAAAATTAAAAAAGAAAAATATTATTACTCAAGCCTCAGAGGAGCTGTATACTTAATAGCGCCTCCTGTGGCAGCCTGTTTGGGTTGCAAAGACTCACACTGTGAATTTCCCCATCGTGAAATGAGTAAGGGAATTGTTTTTTTGTTTTGTTTTTTTAAACCAAAAATAACTGTTCTGCACTGTTTGACTTGTATTGTTTGATCGTGTTAATTTTTAAACAGTAAAACAGTTAAAAAGTTTAATCCAAATTAATTTCACAAATTAATTAGTTTTGACAGCCCTAGTTTTTTTTTTCAAGTAACCATTTTCTTAATTTGTATTTATATGATATAATGTTATTTCTGTGTGGTTTTTTTCCCTTTGTTTTCAGTGTTGTTGAAAATTAAAGCTTTAACGGTCTGTCATATAATTATTATTCACTAACATTTGGGTGACAAAAATTAAAGCTTTAACGGTCTGTCATACAGTTATTGTTCACTAACATTTGGGTGTCTGTGTTGGTGAATAGGGGGCGCCAAACCATTATCTCACCCAGGGGCCCCATAACTACCCGGGGTGGACTCTGTATCAAAGCCAAACATCCATGGGAAGATGCCGTGTGACTCGGTGGGTGACTCACCTCTCCCCCTCTGAGCTGAGGTGGCAGATGAGGTGACAGGCCCACAGCAGGGGCCCCGCGTACGTGCTGAGGGACGTTAGGAAAACAGCAGGCGCTTCGATGTAGCTCTCCAGTCCGACGAAGCCCACGGAGATGTCGATGGTGGCGATGTTGTTGGAGTTGCCCTGTGGAAGAACACAGGACTTCAGTTTCAGTGTGTCGAGGTGCAGGGGTAATTCAGAGAGGAGAGCACGCTGAGAACCGTGGGCAAAGCTTTGTAAGCATTTCAGAAGCACTCCTCTTTTGCTTCATCATCATTACTCCTGGATCCTGGCATTTTCCCAGCGGCGCCGTTATTTGTGTTTTTTCCAGCCCATGAGCAGAGCACACACCGCACACAGCCTCAGAGCCGCTCTGTGGTCGTCTGGTTCGGTCTGCAGGACTTGACGCACACGCTGCAGGTTTTTTTTTTTTTCAAGCAACTCTCGCTAATTAAAGCTCATTTTTAATGTATGAAAAAATATAATAATATAATAAAATATATGAATGCAACTTGTTTTGTTTTTTTTGGGGGGGGGGATTAAATGTGTTTGTGCCAGGTCAATGTTTTCAAATTGAAATATTTTTCACTTGTCTCGGTCAAAATATATATTTTGTCCCAACGGATTTGATTCGAACTCTAATTCATATTTTTAGGTGAAACGTCTGTAATGGTGTGGGAGGATTTAGACGACCCCCTCTCCCCCGACCGTCTGTTTCTGAGACAGAAATAAAGCCACTGCAGAAAAGTCTTCCTTGTCCATCTGGTCCACCCGTCCTTAGATTTATCATAAACCTTTATCCTTTATTGTCTAGTTAACCCTTTCTGACATTAACGACTCTCCTACAGGTGAATTAACCCACAATGCTTTGCGTCACTGCCCTGATCTTCATTCACAACTTTAGATGTGATTTTTTTCTCCCACTGCAACATCACTTTGTTTTTTTCACCGCTGCAAAATTTTAAATGTGTGACGTTAAATCTGAAGAGATCCATTAGCGGTTCCAGCTGGGTTAGAACATTATTACTCACAGGCCTGTAATTACGTGGCCGGGCGATTAAGTTCAAAATTGTCTGGTGGTGTTCAATTCCCATTTCCTGGGCCCATGGCAGTGCGAGCAGCCCAGAGGTGACGTGGGCTGGAGGATAGTTGGCGTCAGTCCGCCGCTCGTGTACAAATATATACAGTAAATGGACCAGGTGGAGATGGAACTGAACCGAGTGCATCAGAGGAGACCTGCAGTTCCTCCAGATATTCTTAGCTCAATAATGAACAGTCGGCCCAGGTGGCGCTCATGCGCGGTTTTTTTCTAAAACCCAAAGACTTCCTGCACTTCCTGTTACCTCGGTGTTCTGGATGTTGGGGAAAAACTCAGGAGCCACACAGTGGATTACGTGGGTTTCCTGTTTGCCTTAGAGCAAAAAGATCCATGGTTTCACCTGTTGATGAACCTCAGAACTTAAACCAACAGCCTTTAACTACACATACTGCCCTCCTCTGGGGGTCTGGCGTACTGCAGGGAACTACGGTTGAATCACTACATCTGATTGGTTCCTTACCTGGAAGTAGAAGAAGGCCTGACCAAACCAGTAGTGCATGATGGTGGTCTGGGCTGCGTCGTAGTGAAGCTTCTTCCAGATGAACTGAGCCATGAGCGTCTGGATCAGCAGAGACCCGCAGAGCACGGGCAGGTTGTGGGCACGGAACAGCAGCGCGACCAGCAGAACCAAACCGCTGTAAATCTCCCACAATCCCCTGCTCCTCAGTTTGGCATCCGCAGTGATGATCTGGGATCGCAGCAGGTCCTTGGTGCCCGTGAACAGGATTCCCAGAACGAAGACGTAGACGAAGCGCGCCTCCAGCATTCCCCTGAACAAACACAAGGATTCCACAGTGTCATTCCTGCATTTACAGGAAAACGCTATTGATTTTCACCGGTAAATGTCCTGGTTCAATATTGCGGTGATTATAGAGAGTAACATTACAATGCAGGCGCTGGAACTTGCTGGAACTGTTAATGCTTTTTAGCAATTAAATATCTCCAGAGATTTGGCGGCGCTGCGCCGACGGCATCGTGACTGACATTGTTCGTTGTGTTCGACAGATTTCTGAATGAGGTTTAGAGCTTTCATATTTTCAGACCTTAAAAACCCAGGAGAAGATCTTTGTGTTACGGCTTCACCTGCAGGAGGTGAGAACAAGTGGAGGGTGACGGAAATAAGATGTGCATAAGAAAACGCAAATATTTGTACAGGGAAGATTAGAATATTGCAGTACCGAACACTGCAAAAGTATCAACCAAAATATTGCTCTAAAAAAGTTTCAATACTGAAGAAATGAAATCAAAGTATTGCAATAATACAGACAAGATTACACAATAAAATTAGAATGTGAAAATAGTAGGAGGTAGGAGGAGTGAAACGTCTGACAGCTCCAGGCAGGAACTGTTTCCTGTGGTGTCCTGAATCACTAAACAGTTACCAACCAGGTCCTCATGACATTTTTCTGTATTTATACACACAAACAAACAACTATTTCTCCTCCATCGTCTCCAGCACTAACAGCGACAACAACACAAATGTCAAATGTCATGTTGTTTGTATTTGAGCTCCTTCTGTAATCGGTTCCTTGTCGGCGTCACCGTCCCTGAGTGAGTCAAAACACAAACACAGATACTGTAGATTTGGCTAAACCTGCGGTAAATAATCTAGTGCAAGGTTTTCCTCCGGAGCGATCATTAATCTTATTAAGTACCAGCCGAGCCGTAAAACAAACAACAAAGGAGCAACGTGCATGAGCAAAATCTAAATGAAGGCACGGGAACCAGCTTTAATTCTTCACCAAAATGTTTTAGTAAAGAACAAAAGAAACAGCAAAAAAAAATTAAAAAATACAACATATATTACAACAATGTCGCAGTGTCACATGTCTCAGTATTTGCCGTTCTTTGAATTAAAATGTTTGCGTCTATCAGATGAACCAACCCTTGATGAAAGTCTGGGGAAGTTCCCAGCTCTTATTCATCTCAGATTTTCAGCCTCTTGTTGGACAGAATGCAATGCTGGAGAACTCAGAACTCTCTTCTTCTTTCATGCAATGTGTCAATGTAACATTAATTATTGAAGGTGTGAGACTGGGAGACAGAATGAAATGCCTGAGGAAACTGCTGGCTCTCACAGCCAGCACTCCGCCTGTTGCGGTTGTTTCTGTGTCACCGTCATATGAAAGACAGCGTATTAACATATTTTATTATACTCCGAGGCGGCGTGACATTTAATCCCGGTTCGTCGTTCACCAACTGAGTTCCACGGGATGTAAAAATGTGAAGTATTTTAATGGGGATAAAACTCATAGCAGTGAAAAACTTCTAACTGCAGGCGACATTTTAAAGGTCAGGTGTCTTAAACTTTCCCTGGTGTATTTTTGGCCTGTTGCTATTAGAGATTATAAACCCACATGTACAATATATATTCATGATATAAACTCTGCGCAGGATTCATTTCCCTTGTTGAACGTTTCACCTCAGAGAAACAGTGCATTGTGGGCTTTAAAATATTAATTTTTTCTAAGTCAACAAGTTATCAAGTTCCACAGAGGTGAAGCAAAAGTTGAACGCAGTGATAATCAAATGGTGGCTCGCTGAACTTTGTGGGCATTTGTACTGCGGGCACCATGTTGGTGAAGCATTTTATGACAGAAGCTGTGTGGGCCTTAAGAATGAATCCACGGGCTGCAAGTAGCCCCCGAGCCGGACTTTGGACATGCCTGTTCTAGATTTAGGGTTTGGGTAATGAGCTCTAACAATAATACTACTACTCATAAATATTATAATTAAAGTATTTTTCTAAGATATACAAGAAAAAAAAACATCTGAAATATTTTGTCTAATTTTACTTTAGTTCTTTAGTTTTTTTTATCAGCAACGTTTTGCACTTTCTCTCATTTATTTAACTAATTTAAGGATTTTTTTGGTGAACAATTTCCGAAAACGAGAAAAAAATTAGATCAAAAAATCAATTAGAAATGACAGCAGCGCTAACCCAAACATACTTCACTACAGTAAAAAGACACGCCGTCTGGACAAAAACACCTTTTCATCTGCAGTAGTACACAGTACAGTACGTGGTAACAGACGACTTTCTCTCATTTCTGCACATGTATTATTGACTGGCGTATTTTATGGAAACTAAGAGAGGAAAAGAGCAGAGTAATATGCCTCACACAGCAGTACTTTTTATTATTCACAACTCCCCGAACAATATGGCGGAAATTGTATTCATCATTATTTTATGCAAAAGGGGGAAAAAAAGCGGGGAGAATCTGGGCCAGGATTTGATGGCGTGAGAGAAGAGTGAGTGATTTGAGCTGCCAGGCTTCACTAACAGGTTTGGAGGCTGTTGAAATGGAGAGAATTGCAGAGTAATCTCATTTGTGTCGAACAATCATGCCGAGGAAACACACACAGAGAGAGAGAAATGCATTAAGGATTAATATGTGCTGCCTCCTTAAACCGGCCTAATTAACACTGAAAGATTTTTTTTATTATTATTATACTTCAAATACGCAGTATTTCCACTGAACGCTGAAGTACTGTACGTTTCAGTGCTGACAGCACCGACACTCACACCAGTGGAAACACAGACTCTCAGCCTTCGATGAAGAAACGAACGCCCGCTGCTGTTTATGTCACATGTCAAACGTGGCTGCCTCTATTTCAGTCGGATTACAGCGCTGTATTTCACACCTTCACCACAGTTTAAGGTGTCAACCAGACGACTTCACACCAATCACGTCCCTCCACCCGTCATGGTGACGAGGCATCAGTGTGGAGCCAGTGTAAACTGGAACATTTAGCTGTGTTTTTCATCCATTAGGATAATTGGATTTTTTTTTTAAGAAAAAATGAAAAAAATAAAACGAGTGACACCGAAAGAGCAGCATTTAAAATGGAGCAATAAAAAAAAAAGTAATTCTGTTTTTTATGCTCATCACAATTTGCTAGAAAATGATTTCTGTTTTTAGTTAGAAAACAAAATAATGCTGCTTTGATTTGATGTCAGAATTCATCAGGAAAATAACCATATGTTCAGAAACATCGAATCAAAAACAGAGTCTGAGGAAATACACCACGGGGTTGGATAATAACGAGCCGGTAGTTACAGATATAAAACATTACCTAGATACAAGTCGGACCAAGAGTTCGGTGCCGTGATCCGACCATCAACAGTTCTTCTCACTCTGGCTCCACGAGTCAGAAAAACCAGAGCAGATGTTTATTTTTTGAGACATTTTTTAATTAAAGTATTAAAAAAAAAACCCTAGAGTGACTCGATTGACCTTTAACCCTGTCAATCATCAAGTTCCTGATAAGGAGCCCGGGTGTCCGTGTGCCATCAGTTCAGGTGACTTTGCAAAGGTTTGAGCGAAGGGTCGAGTTTTTAATTAGGTGAATAGGTAGAAGAGGCTGCCAGGAAGAAGAGGAGAGGTTGAGGAAGGCCAGATAGCAGGGAGATAGCGCTGCTAGATGAAGGAGAGCCACGGAAACTAGACAGGAGAACTTTGTGCAGCCCTGAGCGCTCATTATTTTCAGATAAGTCTGTGCCAGAGTACAGGCTGCAGAGTAAAAATCCCCTCACAGAGTGAAACTGTCAATACCATCATCTTGAAGAATGCAACGTCTGCCTGTAACACATTCACTGAAGTCAACGATACTCCCAGGACTGGGAGACATCAGTCCTCCAGTCTTCGAGGACAGACACACGTCCAAAACACACAGTGTTAGTTCAACACTGGACCACGGAAGCAGCAAAGATGATTATGCAGGTACAGTGAGAACGATGACTGATCTACTACAGTACTGCAGTACAACTGTGAAAGTATGACAAGGATTACCTGACGTTTGAAATTATCCTGGACTGACGTTGGACATCAAACGTTCGTTTACAAAAACTTTGAATTGTCTATTGCAGTGCAGTTCTCAAACTTTTTATTAGCCTGTTAGCTTCCACCACACAGGAGAGATGTTTAGAAATGTTTATGTTTAAATGTTGTATTAACTGTGCATGGTATGTTTCAGATTTGCTCAATTGAAAATATTAATGTGAAAATATAATTTTTTCCCTGCGTACCACTAAAGAGCGCTCACGTACCACTGGTGGTATTGCGTACCACAGTTTGAGAACCACTGGTCTATTGAATTTGGTCCAAACTAGATACTTCACTCCATCCTCATGAGTCGCCACCGGGACACTGTGAAAATATAAATGTGACTAAGAAAAAAAAAAACTATATTTCAGACCGATGCGTTTTAATCGACCTGACATCAGAACTAACTTCCCAGCGCGCTGCCACAGTCCGCTCAACAACAGAATATATATACGATCCTAAAACTTCCAGTGAATGACTTTTTCATTACTCGCCAACTTCAAACTAATCTTATTAAAAAGCAAGAAAAAAAGAGTGCATTTCTAAAACCAATAACTAATAAACTGGCAGAGGTCAAATGAGGTCATTTAAAAAAAAAAACAAACTCAGTCCTGGAGGAACGTACCTGGACGTGGCGTGACCGGAGTGTTGCCAGGGAAATGAGACGTTGTCCACAGCTGCTCTGTAGCTGTAGACGCCCAGCAGTCCCAGGGCGAGGGCGACCTTGGAGACCAGCGAGCACCGTCTTTGAACCAGGAAGTAGATGAGGACGAGGCAGAAAGCGGCCAGCAGGGACAAGACCACTTTATGTTCCGCACTGCAAAATAAAAACAGAAGAATGAGTCAGTGTTTATGTGGAGGATTCTTCAAGGATTAACATGTCATTCACCTGGTGAAATAAAGGTTGCGTCATCATGACACCGTTTGAATATGATAATAAAAGAGGAAATAATACAACAGCTCCGGTGTGTTTTCATTCGCAGACACTCGCTGTACATGACTCACACTAACCCTAATGTGATCTTAGTCACTGCCATTTAAAATAATCTTAATTAACCACGCGTCAGGATGCATTGTTTAATTAAGGGTCCTCAACATGGCCCACATTTCTGGTCTGAGTCACAGGCAAAACATACTGGTAGTTGACGGATCATGATCAGTTTGTTTAAACCACTGCCAAAAAAATGACTAAAATCCGAGAATGAACCATTAGTTAGTAGCATTTTTTCAGGACACATTTGAGTGATGTTTGTTTCCTCCAGCAGCAGGTTAAACTTTAAAGATCTTCTGTTTTTTTGTTGTTTTTTTTTACTTCAATTGGGGCAATATAGTGAGTGGGTGAGTGGGTGGGCACAGACAGGATATTGGACCTCAAAGGGCATATCAAAGTTGAATGGAGGCTGTGTATTTAGCCCGGGGGCCGGGTTAAAGTTGGCTTCTCTGAGTTCTGCTGTAACGCTGCCTAGAACTCATTATTCAAGCAACAGGTGGCGCTGGTAGAAGGGAAGGGCGAAGCCGGACACGGAGAAGGTCAGAACCCACGTCTGTACAACACCACAACGGGACGACGCATGTTTAAAGAAAAGGCAATAGGGGCGGCGGGGGAGGCAGCTGAGGTGGTGTAAGTAGAGCAGGTCATCTTCATGAATTATCTCTTCTGTTGGTGTTTTTTGCCACTTCTCCAGTGGAGGTCCGTTATGACCCAGAAAGTTTTCAGTGTCCTTCAGAAGGGAGAGAAATAGGACTTTTGACGACGGCCTCTTCAACGTAGAGAGGAACCAAATGGAATACAGTCAGAGAAAAATCTAAGTACAATCTGGGTTAAAACACAAAAAACATTTATTTTTCATGACGGTATAAAAAAAACTGAAGCTGAGGACACGCAAAAATTAATGGAAAAATAATTATTATTTTTTTTGTCTAAATTTATTTATTGTTATGTTTATTTTGTAATCCAGTTGCGGGCCAGATTGGACAGTTCACGGGTGGGATTCAGCCCACGGGCCACCAGTTGATACTCACTAATCTTTTAAGTTTGACAACTAAATGTTCACATTCACTGAATTCTATTTAAAGTCGGTCAGACCAACCTGTTGAGCCAGTGTCCGACGTCGGGGAGGTGAGCCCACTGGACGCCAGTTTGGTTGAGTGAGCGCAGCAGGCGGCAGCAGAGCAGCGTGAAGGGCGGCGTGGCCAACGCCAGCCACTTCTCTGAGTGGACGTCTGCTTTACGATGACCAGAGCGGCGGTCCTTGGAGGAAAGTACGGGCTCCTCCTCGTCTCCCGTAACTATCCGCTCCCTGAAGTACTTGCGACAGACGTCTTGAAAGACGCCGAGGCAGAGGGTGCTGATCAGAAAGTACCAGGTTTGGTGCTCCTCCTCCACGAAGCTGCTGGCCGCCAGGCTGAGAGTGTGGCCGACGGTACCGGCGAGCAGCAACACGTCCAGCTCTGACAGTGACCACTCGGTGACAGGGGCGGTCAGAGGAGACTGGAAAAACAGGGAGAGAACAAGAAACATCCTCAGAGACGCTGCAGAAACGACATCAGTGAATTTACTGTAGTGGAGGATCAGTGGTCAGAAGGTGAGGAGGTTGATGCCAGACTGTTTGACTGACTGACTGATGGTCTGTCTGACTGACTGATGGTCTGACTGACTGACTGTCTGACTGACTGACTGATGGTCTGACTGACTGTCTGACTGACTGATTGTCTGACTGACTGTCTGTCTGACTGTCTGACTGTCTGTCTTTCATAGATTTTTTATAAATCTCAGTTGGAAATGCGGGACGATGACCCCGACTGTGTCATGTGACTCATGTCTGAACACTTATTCTTGTTTTATGACATTGGCCAGCAGAGGTGTATTATTGAATAAACAACTTTTTTTTTTAGAACAATGTAATAAAAACAACATCAAATACACTTCAGCCACAGACTTACAGTCAGAAACCGACCTTGAACAGAACTCACACACACACACAGAGAGACACACACACACAGCGTCTTCAGGCTTCAGTCGTCCTTTCACCTTTTGCTCTCCGACTGTACAGGCTGGACTTGTTTTTCTGCTGCAGAACTGAAGGCTATCACTGTTTTATGCAACGCAGTGTGACATTAAAGATAAACAGTGGAGTGAAAAGAAAACAACCGACCGCAGCAGAACACGCTGGGTCAGACCTCTGGTAAAGTGTGACAGCAAAGAGAATCTTCCCTCCTTTGGTGTCGTGGACCCGACTACACAAACACCACAACGACAAGACGAGGCGACTGACATACAAACACCCTCGGACGTCCTGGTGTTCTCCAGCTTTTTGATTGTTTTTCTCAGGACAAACCAGGGCTTTACTTAAGCACAAGGGACTTTGTTTATTCTGCATTTAAAACTAGAAATACTACAAAAAACAAAAAAAAAGCTTTTCAGCTTCGTCCTCTTCCTTTTTGCATTCTTGCAGTGTTTGAAGGACGTTCTCAAAGAGAAACAACTGATAACAACTGCTCTGTTTTTCATCGGACAAATTTGATCTGTTTTTTACTGAAAATGTAAAATTACTTGTTCACACATTTTTACTTGAAATAAATAATAATATTTTGTTATAATATTTTTATTATAACACGAATAAAATATATTATACAAATGTAATAATAATTGAGTCCCTTATTTGTTCCCACAGTGGGGAAATTTACAGTAAGTCTTTGCAACTGACACAGGCTGCCACAGGTGGCGCCATTAGGGATAGTAATTAGTAAAGAGTTGTTAAGAGTGTGCAGCAGACTGGTCATTTTTTCTCATTAAGAGTGAACAGTTAACTTTAGACCAGGTTTTTTAAACTGTGGCAGGAAGTACCTGGAGTGGCTATGAAAACCAAAGACTGGGAATCGAACCCGAGAACAGGCGAGGGCCTGAATGACACGTAATGTAAATATCTGCCCTCCCCACCCGTCCAACCTCCATCCATCCCATAGACAGAGAATGTCATATTTCACTATTATATGGAAATTCCTTCCATAATGTAAGGTTTTCTAATTAATTATTCATTGATGTTTTTAAGTCCTTCAGGATTAGGGCTGTAAACAAACTACTCTTACTCTACTCTATCTTTACAATTCATTAAGCCTGAATTTTAATCAGACCTTTATTTAAGTGATAAACTGGTTGATTGTACTTAATCTCCAAGCTTCTGCACCTCATTCTGTTTAGTGAGAAACTAATCAAGATGCCTCCAATAAAAGTTCTGGACGCCACCCACTGCACCGCCATCCGTCAAGTGCCGTCAGACACATCTCTGCGGCGGGATCCAAACTGATGGAGGAGATTATACAGTCTGACACCGAACCACGCCGTCACTAATGCTGATTTCTCACTCCTTTCTTCATTTATTTTAGGACTTTGCTCTAAGATTTTTTTTTTTTTAACAAAACATTTCTTTTTAATATGGTGCCATGAGCTGTATTTCCAAAGCACTTCCCCAAATTGACAGGCAGCTCAAAACTCAAGATGCCAAATAGAGAGGAGGGAAAAAAACACATTTGTTTTTCTTTAAAAAAAAAACAAAAAGCTTTAAATGTACAGTGTGAAAAGAAAACTCCATTACTGAATTTCCACATCACAATGAGTTTGTCAGTCATGACAGATCCCACTAATTGTATTTCAATGCAGGTTCACAGAGATAAGGAATTTGGCTGCGACAGTGTTTTCTTTTCTTTCTTTTTTTTAACTCAGCCTCGTTTGAAGTGAGACTGAAAGGAACACGGCCTGTAGAGGAACAGTGTTTCTCTGTAATCCCACTAATTGAACATGGGGAGAGAAAAAAAAAATCATGTTCCTCTTAAATTAATCAATAAGATGGTAAAAATGTAATCGTACACTGCAAGTCAGTATATGGAAGTTTTATGGTTATGTTAGTTTATCAAATTAAAAAAACATGAGACAAAAACATCCATCTGTAGTTTTTTGTTACGTTAAAATTGCACGAAAATCTTTATAAATATTTGAATTAGATTTGGGAATATGTCAAAAAAATGTATTTTTAAAGAGCTTTACTGTGCAGTGCAGCAAAAACTGAATAATTTAAGGCCCTAATCAAACCCAGTTCATGTCAACACTGGGTCCGTGCCATCATTTGGTTGGTTTTTTGGGGAGGTTGCGAGAACCAAAAACATTATTCTGAGCAGCAGCAGCAGTATTACCACCTCCTCCTCCTTCAACAGGTTTTTATTAGTGGTTCTACAGTTAGCATGCCCGCCTTGCAAGCAGTAGCAGAGAGTACTGGGTTTTAATTCCCAGAGAAATAGCATACTGCGCTAATGGCGCCTCCTGTGTTGGTTGCAAAGACTTGCACTCTAAATTTCCCCATGGTTGGACAATTAAGGGACTCAATTATTATTATTAGTATTACTGTCTGTAAAAAAAAAATCGGCTCAGAAATTAGCTCTTTGCACAGCTCTGCCCCTAGTGGATGAATTACAAAACCGAGGAACGAAATTCTAGGTAATACTTCCAGTGAGGTACTTCTCTAGTTAGAAATATAGGAGGCTAATATTCTCCTCGACTGTGATTTACTCAGACTTATGATGTAGTTCTGTACATTTGGTACCTAACCTGTGTTTGACGTTTTTTCAAGTGGGAAAAAAAACAGGTACCTAACCTGTGTTTGACGTTTTTTTAGGTGGGAGAAAAAAGAAAACAACTCACCTTCCTGTAAGTCTTGTGTTCCTGGGGCAGTCGACGCATTGCCATGGAGATCAAAATACAAAAGAGAGCTGAGGAAAAGACAACAGCGGCAAACACCAGACCCCAGGAGAGGCTGCAGAAGTAGCAGGAGCTTTCGGCCGATGTGCACACCAGGACGTGGACGGAGGCGAACAGCAGACACAACAGGTAAAACGGCAGAGAGAGGACGGCTGAGAGGACGGGGACGTCCACCGCTGCTGCTCCGCTCAGAGCTTCAGGCAACGCCAGCAGTAGGAGCAACAGGAGCTGAAGACACGGAGAGGAGGGAGAGAAGTCGATGTGAATGAAAGTACAGTGTAATGTTCACATGGTTTTAACAATGAACGTCACCATAAAAAGGTGTTCACATGGTTTTAACAATGAACGTCGCCATAAAAAGGCCCAGAGACGACTGCGTGTTATTAGGAGAAAAACTCTCTTTGCTGTGATTCAAACTGCGACCCTGCATAATGGTTAATTCAACGCCAGCGTTTAGTCACTGTTTTTGTTCACGTCACTTATAAATGACACTCTGACTCATCGATCCATTATTCATTTTTCCATTGATTTTCCTTCCATTGAGGATCACAGTCTTTCTGCCGAGGTCAACTTCAGAAAAAGTGGATTCCTGGCTGCTGCCCCTTCAACACCGACTCCTCATGACGAGCTTCTCTGGACTGTGTGAGTGTCGACTCACAAAAACGAGCAAAAACGCTGAGATTTTTTTCTCATTTTGTCTCTTAAAGATGTTTCAGAAAGTTTTCAATTAATTTTGAAAAGAGCTTTCATACTTTTTTACCTTTTTGTTATTTTTTCCAAAGTGAAGTTTTTCACAAAAATGTCATGTAGTATGTACAGACTTTCTTTACTGCAAATGTGTATACTCTACAAGTACAGGTCGCGACAAAATGTATAATTTACTATATAATAAGTAACCTATTGCAAAGCAGCAAATTAAAAGGTGGCCTGAGACAGTGGTCTGCAAGCCGTGGCTCCTGGACCGTATGTGGTTCTGACTTGTTTGCAGCAGAACAAATACTAAATGATATTGTTATGTTCTTACCACAGTACAAATATATAGAAACTGCAGTATTACACGTACAGTAAATATATCAGGTACATTTTGATAGAATATGTTAAATATGTTTATTAATGTTCAATGATAACAGGACTTCCTGTGCACTCACCTGGAACACAACGACCATGCCTGCGATCATGGAGTACATGTCGTACCTTCCCAGCTGTTTGCCAAGTGCTGAGCTCATTGCGTTCAAAGCGTCCAGGTACTGTTTCAACACCTTCTTGCCCATGTTGGCCAGCACCTCCGAGGTGTTCCCTTCCAGGTACAGCTTCATCCAGCTCCCATGAGCCTTTTCTGCCACACGGAACTGTTCAAAGCCCGGCTCTGTGTGAACCAAGAGCAAAGGCACGGGTTTCAGTAACTGGAATTTAATTTGACGGATCAGAGTCGAGTCCAACATGTTTCCTCTATTACAGTGTTTTAAAAAAAGTATATCTAATAGCCATCTGCTGCCGCCTAGAGGAAGAGTATTTAATAGTACTGCCTTTTATAAAAAATCAAACACAATAAACACAAAAGGAGCAATAAATAAGTAATAGTTTTCAGCCCAATTAAGTGAAAATGGATAATTTTCCACGATACACCTAACGATCTGTCATGGCACACTAGTGTGTTGGGAATCACTGCTCTATTATCAGTACTACCCATTGAAAAAAATGACTCTTTGACCCATCTGTGCAGCACACCGGTGATTAACACTTTAGCACAAAGATATGTCCTTCCAGGTCAGGGATTTGAACCATCAGTCCTCTCACTACAAGCCTAATCCTTTAACCCATGGGCCTTGAGCTAAAACAACATCTGATGATGTTGGTATTTGAGGTTCGGACACGGCCGTACACATTCTGCTGTGTCTTTTTGACACTTTATCAATCAAAAAAAAACTCAACTCAACAGCAGTCAGTCACTGTCTCCAGGGGTTTACACACTTTTTTAAACACACAAAAAAAAGGAAGTGGAGGAAAAGCAGTGGAAACGCATCAGAAAAAGCCTCCAGGCTGCTGCTGCTGTGGCTGTATTTCATCAGAAACACAACGGAGAATTTTTCCTACTGCTCGTTTTTTAACGAATGAGAGCATGAGAGCGTGATCGTATTTTAGTCTTCCTCAATCACCGTGATGAATGAATGAAGGCCAGGTGGTGAATGTTTAGTATTTCCCTTTTGTTTTTCTACTCGGGATTGTTATTCTCGAATTAATAAAAAAAAATGTTGGTGTGTTGAAAGCCATTTAGTCACCACGTGTACGTGATCACTCGTTCTAATGTGTAGTCGAAGCTGATGAGATGATTTTCATTATCATTTCGCTTCAGTGCCTAAAGAGCGTCTTCAAGGACAAAGTAATGTGGGCTTGATTTGTGATATACTGGAGTAAAACACACATTCACACACACACAGACTCACACTCACACGTGCACGCTCCTAAAAACAACATTTTGTAGTGTAGCACCTATTTCAGCAGCGTAGGCACAGACGTGATAAATAGTGACTGTGGCTTTGCCAGAGAGGGGGCTGGCAGAATTATTAGGAGCTGAAGCCACAGGCATGAATCATGACGTATCAAAGGCTCTGGCCATGTTTCATCTGTCTGTGAAAGTACCGGCGCTGGGTAACACTGTGCAGGACGCCGCCTGAGGTGATATGCAGGAAAAACCCAACACCATAAACGGATGGAAACAAGAAGGAGACACAGGATGAGAAATGTGGAGAGGAAAAAAAATTGGATCAACTGCTGGGATTAATCAATCACGATTAATTACAGTAGGATTGATGGCGATAAATCAACTTCCCAAAATATGGCTTTTTTTTTTTTCAATGTATGGCTGGAACAGAGACAAATAACTGCAGGTAGAGGTCAGTGTTTCTCACCTGTTTATATCCTAAATGATGGAATTATTAATATAAAAATAAATGCCAAGAAAGATTTTAAAAGTCCGAGTGAAAATGTCTGACTGACTCTCCTGGTCTCAGTCAGGCTGCTCTGACACAAGCTGGGGCCGCTGACCTGAGGTTGAGCCTCCACAAACACATGGGATTTTAGGAAACTTAAACTCTGCACCAAATATAACACGAACACTGACGTACATATTTCATTTTACTGAGCAACTTCATAATAAGTCCAAGCAGACTGTCCAAATATAGGTCTGCAGACACAGATTTCCATTTTCTAACATTACTATGGAAACCAAGCTCCAACCGCTGACTATATCTGTCCATGCTGCAGAAATTTTAACTTAGAAACTGTGGCTTTAGGTCTGAAACAGAGCTAAAAAACCAATTGCCCCTCCCTTCCCCCCCCCAACAGGACAACTGACCATAGGTGTGAGTGTAAGTGTGAGCGGTTGTTGGTCTCTACTGTACGTGTGGCCCTGTGATGGAGTGGACTACTGTGGAGGGTGTGACCCTGCCCTCACTCGATGACTGCTGGGATTGACTCCAGCTCCTCCCCTGACCTCAGGGAGGACTGAGCAGTGGACGATGACTGAATGTAAAACAAAGAACACTGCTGCTGTAAAAGAGGCTTTTGTAAGAGGATTAATCTGAACTCTAAAGCCCCCGTGTATATGTAAAGTATGCAACTCCTGGTCCGTGGACCGGTATCTGTCCATGGGTCATTTAGTACTGGGCCGCAGTGAAATAATTAATAATTTACTTTTACTTTTGTCATATAAATATATCTGACAAGTACTTTTTTTTAAAAATATGTCTCTCATTTTGAAAATTTCCTGAGTCTTAAAAATACTTTTACAGCCCTTCGCTAAGCAGCGCAGTCGCTATTGGTTGGCAAAAAGCCGGCTGGTTCCTGCTAACCTGTCCTTAGAACAAAAACGGTTGTGGTTTACTGGTAGTGTATACTCTATATGAAGATATATATATACAGAATACTGCAGTACAGAATAGTATAGTGAAGTCATGTGAGTCATGTTGAACTTTGCTATTTTGTATTCCTGGTTGTTTTCCACCCTGCATGTCTGTGGGGGTTCAGATTATAGGAGCTTAAGTGGAGATCGGGTGAAAACCTACACGA